AATTTTTATTTTGTCATATATGATCGTCAAACGTCCTCAAGTATCGATAGTAATTCACCAGTCACCCTGTATAAAATTGTTCTGTGAGTGTGTATGTCACTGAACTTCTCTCAAACAACTGGACCGATTCTGATGAATTTTTTTGTGTGTTCAAGGGGATCTGGGAATGGTTTAGATTCACAATTTTGTCCGCTGGACAATGTTTTTTTAATAAATTTTTAATTTATTAGTAGTTGTTGAAACAAACGTTTTTTTTGACATTAGATTTGACAATTAATATGTCAATCATTCTGTCGGACCTCAAAACACGGAGATTTATGGCTTTAATAGGTAAACTCCAAAAATATAAATAAAAAAAACGTAACAGATATTTCTTGATTATAGGGCGATACGAAGATCGCCGGGTCTTCTAGTATCATCATCATCATCACCCTAGCGTTTGTCCCGGTTGTTCGTCCCGCCCAGGGCGGGAGAACCCAGGGTCCGCTTTCCCACTCAGTTTCCTCCACTTAGCCCGGTCTTCGGCATCCTTCTTGTGGAGTCCATTGGCACTTCTATATACAACGTGTAACATAATTAACGCACACCCTCAAACACCCCAATTAGAATATAATAATATAAACGCAAGGCATACACCAAATATTATTTATATGTGTGTTTCCATTTTTTATTTGTGAAATTAGTTATTCCAATTTCGTGCAAATAATATGGTCGGCTATTCACTAACATTCCGCTGCACACGCACACACAGACAGACACAATGTACTCGCCGCGCCTGCGCCCCTCTCTCCGAGTGCCGTCCGACAATAATAAGAAGTAGGTAATAATAAGTACACGAAATAACTACATTATGATTTATGATTTTTCTTTCCATCACACTTTTCAAGCTTTAGATTGTTGACATTGAATTTTCTTTTTAATGTGAAGCCAATATTTTATAATTACTGATTTGTTAAATTAAATTTGTAAATAAGAATTATTAAACAGCTGATAACGCGTGATTTGATTAGACACCACAATACCTACGACAAAGTTCAACACAGTCGGCGTGTTTAAATGGTGTGAATCAAAATATTAACAATAATTTAAATATCATAAACAAACTTAGTTTAATTTTGCACTCGCACGGCGTTGTCGTTTTAAAACATTTTCAAAATGTCCACCGTCTTGTTCAATGCACTTTAATGACCGTTTTCGCAATTGTGGTTTTATTTTAGATAATACTGCAACGTCACTTTTCACCTTTACAAAGGCGGTTATTATCTTATTTTTTAGTTCCTCGACACTTGTTGTCTCTGTTGTCTCTGTTGTGTTGTTACAAACTAGCGATTTAATTCGCCCCCACAAAAAAAAAGTCGAGTCGCGTCAAATCAGCTGATCTAGGAGGTCAATGGACACGTGCGTAGGTATTTGATGTGTGCCGGCTGTCGCTGTGCGTGCGTAGATATTTGTAAAATACTATTTTAGCCTTGAAACAAGTATCAGTTTTCTTTAATTGAATGATGATTACTAATTTAATATTTCATTTTAAAAATCTTAATACTCTGACTTACGATCCATTTTCGTTTCAATGAAGTGTTTAGATAACTGTGTGTGGGATGGCTGTAATTTACTTAGTTCTATCGAAATTTGAGAAAAAAAATGACCTACATAAAAAACTATAAAAATCGATCCAGATACCAATTCAGAACAAACTACTTTCAGGGTGTGCGTTAATTATGTTACACGTTGTATATTCCATCTTGGCTATTTAAATAATTGTAAAAACACTTAAGAAGAGTAGTAGGGGGTTTTGGATGTTAAAATGTATGATTTTGTAATAATATTTATTTCAAAAAGTCACGTAGGGCCCGAGGCGATCAAAACCACATAATCATCATCATCATCATCTGCAAGTCTGGAACTTCTAGAGGCACTTTAGGTAGTGCACGCGAAAAGAGCACCCGGACTCGACTCAACTCATGACAATCATCATGAACAGTTAACGATTTAAGTTACATGTTAATTTACCTGCATCCCAGGAACTCTATATTCATGAAAAATTGTTTATTTCATGAACAATTTTATTAAAGTGAGGTAATTCGGTAACTAAAGTGAGGAACAGGGTGGCCGTATTGTTAGAAGGAAAAAGAGCTGATTTGACAGTTTGAATGTAATGTGAAGGACGTGTAGGGTCTAAATCAGCGTTATGGGTTATGTTCCAAGGCTATAACAACCCCCGGATTAGATATAACTTGTGCAACTAAAAGACATTGTAAACTTATTAAGAAGATGTTGATAAACGTTAACTTCTGTACTGTGGACAGCTGGAGAATTATGAATTATTCATTGAATTGAATAATGTAGATGATAATAAAGATTAATAGTATAAATATACTTAAAATATAATAAGTAAAATGATATTCCAATCCATTCTCCGGTTTACTTAATATTTTGTTTAATTTTGTATACAGGGTGACTGGTGAATTACTATCGATACTTGAGGACGTGATATTTGACGATCATGACAAAATAAAAATTAATATAACATAAATATTAATAAACTTCTAAGTAAAGTTAACCAAAAGTTATGTAATTAATTACGCATCGTGTGGACACCCTACAGATTAGGTATACACACACACACACACACACACACACACACGTACGGCGGCGTAGCGTTGTATCAGCACACCGCCGCACGCGTCCACACTTGGAACACTTGGAACGTGTCCACACTGTATTTATTTATACGGAAATTTGGTCAAAATTAAGTACCTATTTTTTTGACATAATTCGAATGAGAATCATGTACCGAGTATTCTCCTAAAATATTGATAGTAATTCACCAGTCACCCTGTATACATGATTTGAACAATAATGATCTGTCAATTTTAGGTATTTAATATCATTGACAAACTGGTAGGAATCATTAACAAATGACTATGTGTTGCCCCGGAGTGGTGAATCAATCTGGCTTACAATTGGGCGTAATGGAACATCTTGTTTATGGTTTTTAGGTAACCCACACAATTTCGGTGGTACGAGTGTTACGTACGAGCTACATATGAAGAAATAATTGAACATCACCAGTTCAAAATCTCGTATGGGTAAAACATCATATAAAGAGTGATCCCGCTGCCTCCGAGGAACGAACACCAAGCCGTCTGAACTAGAAGATTCCACATCCACATGCCACACAAGCTATGGAAAGGTATTGCTTTCCTAACATCGGGTCTATATAGTCTTAGGTGTAGGTTATAACTTTTAAGATGTAGTTCTTATTATTTGTTATTAATAACCTTTCTCGAGAATCGCTATCGAATGGTGAAAACTGCTTGGTACATACCGCTTGCGAACATACAGACAGACAGACGCGGCGGGGGACTTTGTTTTATAATATGTATTGATATGATTGATGTCAGCTGTTCTCTTTGTCAACTGACAAACAATATAGAAGGGTGTGATTAGTTTGTCGTGGATGTCCGTGTGTGGTCTCGTATTTCTCACATCGATGGACCTTTTTCGATGCGGTTGTTTCCATTGAAAAGTCATTATTCTTGAGGTGGTGCTTAGCTCTATTTCATTAATATCGGTCTATCAGTGTAAGAGTATTACCTCTTTTCGTTAATGATGTAAAACATTTTTAGTCTATGTCATTGTTCATTTTGTTTATTATAAATAATCAAAGTGACCAACAATCAGTAAATAATAATCTTAAATTCAAAATACTTTCATTATGTAACAATGTTACATGAAATATTTTCTGTTTGCCTAATTAATTAATTAAACAATTTGTAAAAAATGTTAAAGAAAAGTTTATATTTATAAACGGATCCTTATACTATTATCTTTGTCATTTTACACAAAAAGTGTACAATTTCGTATCATTTTTCAAAATGTTCAATTACCTCGAAATCCACTATACACGCCAAAATATTTCTCATGGATTGTTCAGTGACTTACTGACTGACTGACTTACACACATATATGACACAAACCAAGCCTCTTACATACATTACAAACATCGATGTCTCCTATGTACATATAAGGGCCAATGTACAAAATGACAATTGTTCAGTAGAGGCGTTTTAAGTTTGATTTCAATGTATCTTGTACAACTGATTTTGTGAAACTTTGTATAGCAACTATGACATACATGTACGTCATTTAAGATTGATAAACGTTTTTGTAAACCTACTAGTTGTTTAAATATATATATTCTTTATAATATACATTATATAAGATCTGATACATTAAAAAGAGAATTACTTATGCTCTTTTAAAGCAATAAAAACTAAGTATTTCCACCAACAAATACGCATTTTTTAAATGGACGTTGTAGAATACAATATTATGGAGTGTTTATAGCACAAAAATTAATTGGCTAAATTGCACATTGTCCTTATACATAGGACCCATCGATATGTTATGTTATGATATACATATATGTATATAGAACAATTGCTCATTATAGATATACGATTTATTCATCCTTTATGTATATAAAATAAACGGGGTGACACGGTATGGACAAGAAATAAAAAGAAATCGGATAGCATAAGAAATTTATATATTTATGTAATAAAATTTAAGATATAAGTTTTATTTTGATTTATATTTATGAACAGTTCATACGATCACAATTGTCCAATAACACGATGGACCCGGCACCCGCACGGTGAATCCATTGAATGCTAAGAGGATTTATCTCTCTTATTGAAGACAATTCAGAGGAACATAAACAAACAATTTACCTTCTTATATTATTAACAATATATATTCACTTTAAAATAAATTAAACTACAAATAAATAAATTAAACTATAAATATGCTGCAAGTAAAGATGTTAGAATGGTTTAAGAAAAACTCATTAAATGTAACCGCTTGTGTTGGATATAAAGTTCTTAAACTTGAGTTTGGATGCAATATCATGATCGGCAAACCAACTACAATCAAATTACCCAAATGTTACAGTTTTGACTCGTAATTACTATCCATTCTGTATTTTATATTTAATGTTATTTGAATGTTCTTTTAGCTTTCTGTTCAGCCGCGTCACTCGCTTGTACAAATGTCCTTTTCAATTTGTTTTCCCTCGTCTTCTTATATTGTGCCGACACTTTCTCTGCTAGTTTTGCGATCCTTTTCATAGTCTGTTGAGGATATCTGAATTAAGGAGGTTTTATTTATGAATAAGGTTTTAATGAATGTTAAAAAAAAAAAAAGAATCCCTACTAATATTATAAATGCGAAAGTAACTCTGTCTGTCTGTCTGTCTGTCTGTCTGTCTGTCTGTCTGCTACGCTTTCACGCCTAAACCACTGAACTGATTTTAATGAAATTCGGTACAGAGATAGAGTTGACCTTGAGAAAGAACATAGGATAGTTTTTATCCCAGACTTTTGAAAGGTTCTCTTGGAAACGCGATATAACCGAACTCCACGCGGCGAAGCTGCGGGCGGAAAGCTAGTATTCTATATGGTAACTTGAAATATGTTGTAATAATCAATAATGGCAAGTTTCATCTTCAAGATACATGAAGCAACATCTGTTGTTGATATTGTAAGTGCAAAAGTTTTAAAATTCTCCGTTTGTTTTGTCACTGATATATGCTGCTGAAACTTCTATGGATTAGATTATAACATTCATATTTGACAATGGCGAAATTTAAAAGATAATGCCAATAACTCGAAGAATAGAAGAAATACGATTTAATTTGTTGTTTAAGTTTCAGTTGTTTATTTACCTGCATCCCAGAAACTCTATGTTTGTGAACAGTTGTGCTAGAGTTATTAATTCGGATTCTTCGAAATTATCTTTATGCTCCATCATGAAGCTTCGTCTCACTTCCCATTGCTCATCAGATTCGTGTTCCGTTCGTAAGGAGTCCACATCAATAGTAGGTTTCATTGTTATTCTATGATTGATCTAGTTACAAGTATAGTTCTAGGCACTATTTTATTGTATTAAATATTGTGAAGTTATTATTGTTTTAGGTATGAAATAAGTAATAGTTATTTAAATTAAAACCATAAGACGTACATGACAATACTACTACTTCAGATGTGCATATTGTGAATGTATAGCGTTTCGTAAACAACTCATTTACGGTTGTTTTTGACAAGCGACATAGTTTTAAAATGAATTATTTTTTAACGCGTTTGGTGTTTATTTAATATAATAACCAAATATTAAAATGCAATTTTTATACACAAGACAAATAAACTTTATTTATTTAAAACCAACATGTAAACGATTGCTTACGCAGTAAATATTTTGGCCATTACAATTATCCGACCAAAAACTAAACGTTCCGATATTTTTTGACATTGACTTAAGAATCATAATATAACCTGAGAAAGTTTAAAACTACGTACCTATAAATAATTGTAATTACTTTTGGAGGTATAAATCTTAGTCTAAAGGATACTCAAATATATAATTGTTATGTATGAATAGATATTTATATATCTACTTATATAAAATAAGTCCAAAATTCGTTTAAAAACATTTCCTATATACATTTAAAATGGAAAATAGTTTGAATATTCATATACATTTTGGAGGAGGAGCGGAGTTACTGTTTGATAAAATTAAGAAACATGTCGTAGAGTTACCGGCGGCGAGGAAATATTTTCCTGATACTGATATTGAGAAATGGAGGATAAAGGAACTTTTACAATGGATAAAAGACAATTTATTGAAGGAAAGACCCGAACTATTTCTACAGGTGAGAGAAACACAATCATATTAACATTATATATACAGCTAATGTATAACTTTGTCAATATATAAATACAATTAAAGCATCTCGTCGAGTCGAGTATGTCAACTTTTATCATAAATAAAGTCGCGTAGTATAATCCCAAAAATTATTAGTTTCATTTCCACTTTCAACATATCAATGCTGAATAAAAAGCTAGCTTATGTTATTAAAAAGAAAATCTTCATTCCAACTTAAAATATACATTGCTAATAGATTAACTGGATTCAATAAAACTACAGTAAACTAGCTTTGCGCCCGCAGTTTCGCCCGCGTGGAGTTCGGTTATATCGCGTTTCCAAGAGAACCTGTTGAAATTAAATAAAATAATTCTAATATTGGTGAACGTACAAAGCTTTATTTTTAGTCTTAGACACGACATACTGAATGAGCGCAGATACAAGTTATAATAAAAACTAAAAGTGGGTACATATTTTTCTACTGACAGAGCAGCAACATTCACAAAGTACCAACCATGTAATTATATTGCTAATATAAAAACAGAACCTTTCAAGTCTGGGATAAAAGCTATCCTGTTCTTTCTCAAGGTCAACTCCATCCCTGTACCAAATTTCATTAAAAACAGTTCAGTGGTTTAGGCGAGAAAGTGTAACAGACAGACAGACAGAGTTAGTTTAGCACTTATAAGTAGGGATTAGTCATGTATGTATAGTTGTAAGTACCAAACTGAATGACATCAACTAATATAATAAAGTGATCTATCTACATTACACTTGACATACTATTATTTTAGCCGAGCAAGTATTCCTTATATATAATATTAATGAATCATTTTATTAATATTCCAGGGTGATTCAGTTCGTCCTGGTATACTTGTGTTGATCAACGATGCTGACTGGGAACTATTCGGTGAATTGGAATATGAATTACAGAACAACGACGAGATCACATTCATATCAACATTACACGGAGGATGATTATTGATGTTTGTATTCATATATATAATAAATTATCATTTATATGAGTGTTTGTTTGTATGTAAGACCGTAATTATTAATTAATTCTGTTAATTTATAGACTGATTATTATTTTATATTCTCAAATATATAAGTAAAAAGTACAGACAATATATAAAATATATATATTCAGTGTCTCTACTTTTGTTGGTTTCTTCTTGTGTCCTAAGAACTACAGTTTACAAGCATGTTTATGAATATTCCCAAGTATAGTAGAATGTTTGAACAGTGTCACTTGTATTATATAAGTATAAATACATATATTAGTGTCTTTCTAATAAACTACTCATTAACTGAAACTGATATCTTCTAGTTTATAAAACTTGTTCAATACTAGGACGAAATCTAATCTAGGATAAAATTACATATAAATATTGTACCTATTAATAGCCCGGTACATAAACATTTGAATAATGACAAGCGTGTGGTGAGTTTTAAAAATTGCATTTGGCTCCATACACACTTTGTGTAATGCAATCACAACGATTTGGTTCTCTTTATCACACCACTCCATTTTAATATCGCATAATATTGAACAATGTATTGGCGCCAAAATAAGAAAACAATGAAAAATTATATAAAAATGACAGATTCTGAATTCAAATGTAATATTTTGTTTAATTTTAATTGTACCAGTACTTATGGCCAGACTATGTATATGTTTTTATATTTAAATGTAATTTGTTGTAGACAAAACATTCTTTTGTTAAATGTCTTAGAGTCCTACAAAACTCATGTAATGTGGTGCTCTGAGAGAGGAATGTAAGCCGAGACTGCTGAATAGATACTGCCTTTATTTCTAATAGATCGTACATTAAATAGGTACAAAATTAGGTTACGTAGTATATAATGGTTAATAAGTATGTTTAGTTAATATAATCTATTCACTACATCTCAGTCTTCCTGGCTTAATGTTTGTAGGGTTATCAATAGTCCATAGTTACATTGTATTGAACAAAGGAATTATAAAAATTCACAACTTTATTTCTACTTATATTAGTTAAAATATTTGATAGTAATACAACTGTTTTATAATGAAACGCCCAATCTGTCTAAAACCATATAATTCAGTGAGTGTGTATTAGTTTTATTACTGGCAAGTGTTAAATGAGTTTATTATAGGTATGTGAATGGCTTTCCGAGTCCCGCGGCAGCGTGATCACCACCGCTGGATTTTTCGCACTTTGAGTGCTCTTCCTCTTCTTCTTCTTGGCCTTCTTTCCCTTCTGCCCGGTTTGCGGTGGTACTACCGCCGGGCCAGCCTTGTCCTTCTTCTTGACCACCTCTGTCCATCTCTCCTCCATAGATGGAGGCGGCGGGGGCAGAGGTCTTGCCGTCTTCTCCTTCTCCCTTTTGGCCTTGGCACCGCTGGCCGCTGCTCCAGGCCGCTTAGCTTCTGTCGCAGCCGTGGCTGGTGCTGGTGTCCTGTCCGGTGGTGCTGGTGTCCTGTCCGATGCCAGGGGAGGTCTTAGGCGCTTTTCTGGTAGCAGGCGCCCCTCTATCCCCTGGAGCTTCGCGTCGATCATGGTCCCGATTTTTCGCATCAGGGTCCCGCGAAATTCCTCGTCCGTCCGATCTGTCCTTGTTGCCCTTGGGGCTGTGAGTTTGTCCAGGTCCGCCCGTAGACGGGCCTGTCCGTCCCTCAACATTCCCAACTCTTGTTGGAGGAGCGCGTTCTTGCGCTGCTGCTCCTCGAGCCGGGCTTGGAGGATCTCTGTTTCCTCTCCGCTGATCCGCTGCAGGAGAACGTCTTTTGCTTCGCCCAACAACGCCGCCGACGTCTTGAGCGCCCGGATCCAGCCTCCTTTCAAATTTTTGTAGTTTGTGGCCACCTCCACAATAACTCCCAGGGCCCTCTCCATTTCTTTAGCAAGTGATGAGGCCGGCAGCGTCTTCACTGATGATATGGCGGCTTCGACCCGCCGCGCCGTCATCACCGCCGTTTCCTCATCCCTAGCCCTGTCACTGTCGCCATCTTCGCCTCTCCCTCCTTTCACGAGGGAGGATTTGGCACTGCCCCCAGAGGAGCTCCCATCTGACTCCCTCCTGAGCGGTCTCTTACGGAGCGGCGTGAAGCTCGTCGTTGTCCCGCCAGCGAAGAACGCCGAGCGCGTCTCCTCCTCCGCCTCCACCCTCCTCGTCACAGTAGTCTGCTCCTCGTCGGAAGCATGGCTTGCCGTTCCCGTTCACTAGCTTACGCACTTACGCAGAGAACGTCGAGGTGGTTTAGTGGGTGGAAATCCCACATGCCCCTGTCGCGTTTCCCCCGCGGCAGGAAGTCTTTAAAAGATTCCCCTCGTAAAAAAAAAGGTATGTGACTGGCTGTGGGTAACTTGGTTTTGAGAGCTGAGTATCCGTTCTTGTGAAGCCAGTGATTCTTCTCCACCATTTGGTTGATTCGTGAGAACAATATCTGCGGTTTTAGTTCTATTTCCTTGGAGAAGAAATTATATATATGGACAAGCGGAGGTTCTTCTTTAAATCTTCTATGTATGTCCTTGTTGTGACTGGATAGATGTTACCTGAAAGAAGTTTTAGTAAAGATTCAAATTAATTAATATTTTGATACATGAAATAAAGTTAAGAGGGTACTTATTAAATTATATTTAAGTATAGTACGTTAGATTTAAGCTGAGCTTTACATTGGTGTGAATGAAAGTAAAATTAGAGTAAGACAAAAATCTTCAAGAATTAAATTCTTAATTATAAATAAAATAAGCAAAACTTGCAAAAGGCCACATGTAAATATTATTAATATTATGGGTTATACTATACAGTGAGGCAGGCTGAGTCCTGAACAACTTTTATAATCACTACGTGTCGAGTGTCATATGTTTTAATATAGACGTGTGGAGTCGAGCGCGTCAACTAGTACATAACTGTTTGGACACGAGGATTCGTTCAGGTAACACAATATATAGTCAGTGTGAAGAGACGCGTTGTTGGAGCGGAGTTTACTAGAAACATAAGACATACTTACTAGCTTGACGCCCGCAGCTTCGCCCGCGTGGAGTTCGGTTATATCGCCTCTCCAGGAGAACCTTTCAAAAGTCTGGGATAAAAACTATCCTATGTTCATTCTCAAGGTCAACTTTATGTCTGTAACAAATTTCATTAAAATCAGTTCAGTGGTTTAGGCGTGAAAGCGTAACAGACAGACGGAGTAACATTCGCAATTATAATATTAGTAGGGATTAATTTATGGAAATATTATTTATGTATGGCGATGCTCAGGTACTTAGTGTAGTAGTTGTAGTAGTTGTTAGATACACCTGCAGTAATATATATACATATGTAAACAAAATTATATATGTTTAACGCGTCATGGACGATAATATGTGTAATTTTACATTGTATAACGAAACTTTTACATAGAAGAGAACTTGTATAATAGATCATATATATTTATATTCGTTGTGATATTGTAATCCACATTGTAAATTAATAGTTTTGAATGTAATTTCTTTTCTGCTTTCTCACAGGTCAGTGTTGTAAACTTGTTAATGGAACCTAATATAAACTTAACAATAAAATTATTTTCTTACAGATAAACCATTGATCTTTTAATTGATTGTGTCATACAAATCACTACAGCCACGGGCAAAAGTATTAGGCACCCTACAGTAAGACAAGTTTTAGGGTGTTTTAGCATAGCGAGTGCATTTATGATTACAATGGTTTATTTTAAGAAAATAATTAATATTTTGTAGGTCCACCTTTTGACTTAATAACCGCAGCCACTCTTTTTGGCATTGACTCTACCAGCCTGAAACATTCTTCTCTTGATATATTTTTCCATTCCTGCTGTAACGCGGCCAATAGAGCTTGTTTATTGCTAATCGAGTGCCTGCGGATATTTTTCTTTAAAAATGGACCAAATATGCTCAATCGGGTTGAGGTCTGGTGATTGTGGTGGCCAGTCCAAAAGATCAATATGATTTTCAGCAAACCACTTCATGGTATGCGCGGACTTGTGGCAAGTGGCGTTGTCTTGCTGAAATTTCAGGCCATTGGTGTTTGTATCACCGAAAATTTGCGTTATCGACGTTGCTAGTGCTGTTTCCAGAACTTCAGTGTATTTAACACTATTCATTCGTCCCTCACACAACACCATTTCGCCCACTCCGTCGGCAGCCATGCAGCCCCAGATCATTATTGAGCCTCCACCATGCTTAACAGTGGGAACCACACATTCTGGGTTGTATTCTTCGCCAACCCTTCGCCTAACATAAGTCACACCGGGTGTTCCAAACACCTATGCCAAACGAAAAAAACCCATTTATTTTCAAAGTTATTATTTTTCTTGCAGTACGTTATTTTGAAAACATTTATGTGTTTTAATATTGTACATAAAATAAATAGCAATACCTCAAAGTTAGATTCGTCTGACCACAGTATGTTGGACCAATCTTCCACTGACCAATCTCTATGTTTGAGTGCCCACTCCAACCGATTTTTCTTATTGTGTTCTGACAGCCACGTCTTCTTCCTTGCTTTACATCCTTTTAATACAACTTTAAGAAGTCTTCTTCTCACAGTATAAACACTCACTGAGCTGCCTTTTGCCTCAGATAATGCTGCAGCGAGCTCTAAAGCAGTTTTTTCCTGTTTTGTAGAGACTGCCTAATCAACAATCGATCTTCCCGTTCAGTAGTAACTTTTCTTCTGCCTGTTCTTGGTCTATTTTCATGGGTGCCAGTCTCTTTGAAGCGATTTATAGCATATTGAACTGCACATCGCGAGCACTTCACTTCTCGGGCTATTTTAACCTGAGACATGCCTTGTTCATGTAAAATCTTAATTCTTAGACGCTGTTCAGCACTAAGTTCAGATTTTTTCGGCATGATTAACACGTTAAATGTTAGTCTTTAGAATTGTGATAGGAATAGTTGCGTAGAAGACGTGTATGTTCACTGCAAGCACTGATAACACACTATAACCCGAAACGAAAAAAAAAAAGCAAATTCGAAGAAACATCGCTTAGGAGCACACCTGGATGTCATAAATATTTTCTTTTATCTTAATTTGGTTAAAATTTGCCGCTAATACAATAGCTAAACCATAAAACACAAACTTGACCGCTATCTAATGAGATAGTGACTAACAATAGGGGTGCCTAATACTTTTGCACGCAGCTGTATATTATATGTTATATATATAATTGTACTGACTTTTTGATTATAAAATATTAATTGAAGCAACCGTTTTTTACTAAATACACATATATATGGTGCATACAATAAAATAACATTTTTACAATTCTCTGCTGTTTGTTCCGGCTAATCTCTGAAATGGCTGAACCGATTTTGAGGACACTTATTAGCAGGTGGCGCGTAAACTAAAGAGTAACATACCGCATACGAGTAGGCTACTTTTTATTAAAATACCAAAATAAACCGTTGTTAGGCGATAGTGGGAAACGAGAATCATGCTAATGACCCCTCGTATGAGTAATAGAATGCTTCTTACTTAATAACTATATTAATACGTTTCAAATGAATAAAATAACGAATAAACTATCCGTTTTTAGTTAATCGATGCTAACTGATAGTGAGGCTACAACTAATACGTCATCAACACATGTCCCGTACCCATGATCCACATGTATTCTTCGAATATTCCGTCATTGTTTCTCAAGTTCGTTAAAACTTGCAACTGTTTAGCGATCTGGAATATATAGTTACTCTAAATATATATTAAATGTGGAATATAAGTAAGTGATGACTGTATAGACATTTAAGATATAACTTCTAATAGTAAAATCACACAAAACTGTTCTCTCTCAAAAACAATATTTTAGTATTAGTTGTAATCATTAATTTGAGTTCGTGATTTCAAGAAATAAATTTCTTAGATGATACAGACGGTTATAATAATAACGAATAAAATATACACATTCACATATATCGATGTCTTTTGTATATTATTTTACTATAACAAGTTTTTATATTAATATGTATATGTGAACCAACGCCATCTATCGTTTGTCACGTTATCTCTGGTATACGACTTGTATCTTGTTCTAATATTAAAGTTACTTTGTAACACGAGCTACATCTAAATATATTAAATACTAGCTTTTGCCGCGGCTTCGTCCGCGTGGAATAGTTACTTCCGGCAGATTTTTGGTTCTTCCCACATAGTTCCCGTTCTTGCTTGGTTTTCGGAATGGTCGAGTTCCCGTAGAATTTTTAGGATGAAACCTATGTTTTTTTTATTAATAATGAAGTACTCTTAACCAACAACATATTTATTTGTTTATATGAATAAAAATTAATATTATGTATTATTTTGATACAACTTAAACAAATTATTTCGATAAAATTAGGTACCATAAAAACGGTTTTTGTGAGTTAATCTTAAAAGATAGACATATACTGTCGCGGACTGTTTTTTAGATCATTAAAAGAGCTATTATTCTTTAATACAAATTTTTTGTGTATCTTGAACCGTTTTCACGGCGCACGCAACGGAACGCTTCAAAGATGAAATAATTTCTCCCGTTTTTTACACATTTACCACTATATCTTTGCTCCTATTGGTCGTAGCGTGATGTTATATAGCCTACAGCCTTCCTCGATAACTGGACTATCTAACACAAAAAGAATTATTCAATTCGAACCAGTAGTTTCGGAGATTAGCGCTTTCAAACAAACAAACAAACAAACTCTTCAGCTTTATAATATTAGTATAGATTATTTATATTAAACATCCATCCGTCCTCACAAACCTCACACACATATACAGTACTAGTATAATATTATATTTGATGTTTGAAGCCTTCTTCATTGACAAAACTGAAAAATATAATTAATATATATATAATTACATATATTTATGTATATTAATATAAACTCCAAATATTGTTATCTGTGGTTCATTTTAAATTCTATAACATATAACGAAACTGTTACCAAGAAGAGAACTTGTCATTACTTCTCCTGGTGCGTCGTCTGCAGGTAGCATGTCGGCGTGGAGTACATGGCGTACATTTGATGTTTGAAGCCTTCTTCATTGACAAAACTGAAAAATATAATTAATATATATATAATTACATATATTTATGTATATTAATATAAACTCCAAATATTGTTATCTGTGGTTCATTTTAAATTCTATAACATATAACGAAACTGTTACCAAGAAGAGAACTTGTCATTACTTCTCCTGGTGCGCCGTCTGCAGGTAGCATGTCGGCGTGGAGTACATGGCGTACATTTGATGTTTGAAGCCTTCTTCATTGACAAAACTGAAAAATATAATTAATATATATATAATTACATATATTTATGTATATTAATATAAACTCCAAATATTGTTATCTGTGGTTCATTTTAAATTCTATAACATATAACGAAACTGTTACCAAGAAGAGAACTTGTCATTACTTCTCCTGGTGCGTCGTCTGCAGGTAGCATGTCGGCGTGGAGTACATGGCGTACATTTGATGTTTGAAGCCTTCTTCATTGACAAAACTGAAAAATATAATTAATATATATATAATTACATATATTTATGTATATTAATATAAACTCCAAATATTGTTATCTGTGGTTCATTTTAAATTCTATAACATATAACGAAACTGTTACCAAGAAGAGAACTTGTCATTACTTCTCCTGGTGCGTCGTCTGCAGGTAGCATGTCGGCGTGGAGTACATGGCGTACATTTGATGTTTGAAGCCTTCTTCATTGACAAAACTGAAAAATATAATTAATATATATATAATTACATATATTTATGTATATTAATATAAACTCCACATATTGTTATCTGTGGTTCATTTTAAATTCTATAACATATAACGAAACTGTTACCAAGAAGAGAACTTGTCATTACTTCTCCTGGTGCGTCGTCTGCAGGTAGCATGTCGGCGTGGAGTACATGGCGTACATTTGATGTTTGAAGCCTTCTTCATTGACAAAACTGAAAAATATAATTAATATATATATAATTACATATATTTATGTATATTAATATAAACTCCAAATATTGTTATCTGTGGTTCATTTTAAATTCCATAACATATAACGAAACTGTTACCAAGAAGAGAACTTGTCATTACTTCTCCTGGTGCGTCGTCTGCAGGTAGCATGTCGGCGTGGAGTACATGGCGTACATTTGATGTTTGAAGCCTTCTTCATTGACAAAACTGAAAAATATAATTAATATATATATAATTACATATATTTATGTATATTAATATAAACTCCAAATATTGTTATCTGTGGTTCATTTTAAATTCCATAACATATAACGAAACTGTTACCAAGAAGAGAACTTGTCATTACTTCTCCTGGTGCGTCGTCTGCAGGTAGCATGTCGGCGTGGAGTACATGGCGTACATTTGATGTTTGAAGCCTTCTTCATTGACAAAACTGAAAAATATAATTAATATATATATAATTACATATATTTATGTATATTAATATAAACTCCAAATATTGTTATCTGTGGTTCATTTTAAATTCCATAACATATAACGAAACTGTTACCAAGAAGAGAACTTGTCATTACTTCTCCTGGTGCGTCGTCTGCAGGTAGCATGTCGGCGTGGAGTACATGGCGTACATTTGATGTTTGAAGCCTTCTTCATTGACAAAACTGAAAAATATAATTAATATATATAATTACATATATTTATGTATATTAATATAAACTCCAAATATTGTTATCTGTGGTTCATTTTAAATTGTATAACATATAACGAAACTGTAGTGCGAGCACGGTTCTTTATGTCGACTCTTATCGAGGCATTTATCGACGTTTTTGACATTAGATGTAGATATAACAACATTGGTAGCATGGATCTCAATTTTGTCGAGTTATGTCTACACCTCGATAAGATCGACATAGTTTATCGAATTTTGTCAATTTTAAATTACAATGTCAGCATGGTTCTTATTTTTGACAGTTGTCATTGATATATTTTCGTTAAACTTGTCTACACTTTAAAGTTGGTCGATAAAGAAATTCGATATAAAAAGGAAGTGAATTTCAAGGAAAACCTGTTAAATGGACTTTGGGGATATTATTGTTTTGGAGACAGAGGCCGCCAGAAGAGTCCGCGATGAACGAAGAATTCATCGGCGGAATCTCGAGATCGAAGTAACCCCTTCGATTTAGGAGATGAAGAATTCCGAATTTACATTAGAGTAAATAAGGAAATCGCCTTAACTTTAACACGCTCTCTTGAGGGCGATATAAGAAGGAGCCGGTCTCATGGACTGCCAGTACATATTGTAGTAAGTAATTCTTCAATCTTCAATATCAACTATGTAATGAGTTATACTATAGTACGCGAAATAAATTGTTTCAGATTTTGGCTGCAGTGCGTTTTTATGCCGTTGGTAGCTACCAACGGTTTGTTGGCCAAGATTATAATATTGTATTGGCACAACGAACGGTCAGTAAGGTCGTTAAGGAGGTGTCGTATGCCATTGTGCACAGACTCCTCAATGTTTACATTAAATTCCCTAGCACAGCTGAGGAAAGGAGGGCTGTCGCTAGCGGGTTTCAGGCTGCACATGGCTTGCCAGATTGTTTGGGGTGTATTGACTGCACACACATAGCTATTGTCACACCCCTTAACAATGATGCTAATGATCCACCTATAGGGTACAAAAACCGAAAAGGAAATTATTCTATTAACACTCAATTTGTAAGTGTACCTAAGTACTTAATTTATTTCTCAACATGACTACAAATATTTTTTCTTTACATCTATTTTCCTAATGTAAGGCTTGCTTGCTACCCCACCATTGTGTGATATTAATTTTTACCTACCTAAGTATTAAAAAATTGTTTCAGGTGTGTGACTCAAATTGTAGATTACTTAATGTAAATGCAAGATTCCCAGGGTCAACTCACGACCAACACATTTTTAACCAAAGATGAAATGATGAGACTGGTAGATGGTAGAATTGGAAAATACTATTTAATTGGTAATTCAAATTGGTTCAGTAGCTCCGGAGCCTATTCGTTACAAACAAACAAACAATCAAATCTTTCTTCTTTATAATATTAGTATGGATATGGATAACATAATCAAACATTAATGCGTTTTTAAAATATTCTTATAATTTAATAAAATATAGGTTCATATTGTAAAACTAAACTTCTTCCAAAACTTCTTCTGCGCCTAAGAAAAAATTGGCTCCACCGGACTGCATCAGCAACCTTGAAATAGAAAGATTAACAATTTAATAAAGTAATTTAAATAATTTTTCTTTGGTGATTGTATATAATATTTAATCATTTGTCAATTTTCAGGTGATTCTGGGTACTCTAAACAGTCATACATGTTGACACCAATTGTGCCAAGTCCACCTGAAGGTTCCACCGAGTACAGATACAATGTAAAAATCTCACGAATAAGGAACTGCGTGGAGCGAACAAATGGAATAATAAAAGCCATCTTCAGATGCCTCAGGAAGGATAGAGTGCTGCATTATCAACCACAAGCTGCAGCACTCATTATATTATCTTGCTGTACCATATATAATATGATGCATCAATATAGGTTAAGATCATAAGATTTGATACTGTAAAATAATAATTAAGTATCACTTATTGCATCTCTAATATTTTTATTATTCAATTTCAGATACCCATTACCAGAGCCAGAAACATCTACAGAGGAACTTACTGACCACACTATACCTACACATACTGCTACCAGTTCATCAGCAGCTTTGCGTCGGCAGCAAGATATAATAATGTTGATTAATTAATTAAGTTATTAAAAGTTCAAAATTAGATCTGAGTTCTAATACAATAATTGTTTACTTTCTAATACTACATCTACCTCTAAAATATGTTCTACTTTTACTTTACAGCTACTTTCACAATATTAAATATTGGCTTAATCCTTACGACTCAAGAAGTCTATTTCTCTCTTTTAATATAATGTTACGCTCTGACTCTATTAGGTTCCGCTTTTCTTCTATAGCATTACGGCTCTCCAGATGTTTTGCTATAGCCTAAAAACTCAAGTTTTAAAATGGCCTTAATGGGGTGAGTCAGTAAACTACAGATGGCCTACTAATATTATAAATCTGCAAGAGTGTCTGTTTGTTTATTTGTTTGATTCTTACTTCTTGATGCCTCAACTACTGAACCGATTTCGACGAAATTTGGAATATATATATCAGGACAGTCCGAGGAAAGACATAGAATACTTTTTGTCCCAGAAAAAGAACTTACCACGCGGGCGGAACCGCGGGCAGAAGCTAGTAAAATAAATAAAACTAACTGTGAGAGCAGCAGTACTAGAACCCGAGCAGGCCTCATAGATTTGTCCCAGATCTTTGGCTGATCTTTTACGGGAAGACCGAGTTCGTGATGTTGATTGTGTAGGTGGTGGTGATGAGTGATGTGGTAGGTACTGCTGTGCGAGCAATTGATGTATTGGTGACGTCTCTAACAGTGGTCTTGTTATTGTCTCTGGAACATCTAGACCCCGAGATGTTATCTTCCCAGTGATCCCTAAAATCTTTTCTTCCCCAGTTGTTAGAACCGGAACATTTTCATTGTTTCCAGTTCTTTTTCTGGCACAGTTAATATTGGCATTTTTAGTTTTGTTTTCGATTTCAGATCACGCCATGTCTGAAAATATAAACAATAACCAATCTTATACAAATATAAAAATCAATCCCGATTTCACTAATTCTTTTTTGTTGTTTGTTATCATCAGGAGAAGGTTCTTATGAAAGAAAAGTACTGATAATATCTATCGGGTCAGCTAGTCCCTGATACAAGAACAAAATATTTAAGTTTAATTTTATAAGAAGTCAATAATCATTACATCACAGAAAACAAACTTACCGTTTTCCATTGTTCAACTGATTTTGCTGGACCCAGTTCCGCCAACTCCGCAGCAATGGTTTTCCAAATGGATTCCATTTTTTAGAATCCCATTGGACATGTAAAGATGCCCAATGCCACCTCTTTATGGCACTCCATCAGCTCTATGAGCCGCTGTTTCTGCCCAAAAGTACAGCGTACTTTCTTTCTGTAACATTTGTTATGTCAAAAAACCTATATAGCAGGCAACGCATACAACGCACGTATCCGAGACGCATTTATGAACTTACTTTGGAGGCTCCGTCATGGTACTTACGAGTAGTTATAACACAAACAGAAAGGATCGCGCCGCGCGTATACTTAATTTCACTGACAATGTCACTGCTAATAACATATAGTTAATTAAATTGCTATACATAAAAATTTAAAAAAAGAGAGAGCTGGCAACATCTATGATGACAAATGAAGGAAATATATTATTTAACTGATGTTGCCAATTTTTATATCGATAAAATAAAGCGCTCGACAAGCCTCGATAAACATATCAAAGCGAGTTGTTATCTGTGGTTCATTTTAAATTGTATAACATATAACGAAACTGTTACCAAGAAGAGAACTTGTCATTACTTCTCCTGGTGCGTCGTCTGCAGGTAGCATGTCGGCGTGGAGTACATGGCGTACATTTGATGTTTGAAGCCTTCTTCATTGACAAAACTGAAAAACATAATTAATATATATATAATTACATATATTTATGTATATTAATATAAACTCCAAATATTGTTATCTGTGGTTCATTTTAAATTGTATAACATATAACGAAACTGTTACCAAGAAGAGAACTTGTCATTACTTCTCCTGGTGCGTCGTCTGCAGGTAGCATGTCGGCGTGGAGTACATGGCGTACATTTGATGTTTGAAGCCTTCTTCATTGACAAAACTGAAAAATATAATTAATATATATATAATTACATATATTTATGTATATTAATATAAACTCCAAATATTGTTATCTGTGGTTCATTTTAAATTCTATAACATATAACGAAACTGTTACCAAGAAGAGAACTTGTCATTACTTCTCCTGGTGCGTCGTCTGCAGGTAGCATGTCGGCGTGGAGTACATGGCGTACATTTGATGTTTGAAGCCTTCTTCATTGACAAAACTGAAAAATATAATTAATATATATATAATTACATATATTTATGTATATTAATATAAACTCCAAATATTGTTATCTGTGGTTCATTTTAAATTCTATAACATATAACGAAACTGTTACCAAGAAGAGAACTTGTCATTACTTCTCCTGGTGCGTCGTCTGCAGGTAGCATGTGGGCGTGGAGTACATGGCGTACATTTGATGTTTGAAGCCTTCTTCATTGACAAAACTGAAAAATATAATTAATATATATATATATATATATTACATTATATTATTTGTATATTAATATAAACTCCAAATATTGTTATCTGTAATTGTATAACATATAACGAAACTGTTACCAAGAAGAGAACTTGTCATTACTTCTCCTGGTGCGTCGTCTGCAGGTAGCATGTCGGCGTGGAGTACATGGCGTACATTTGATGTTTGAAGCCTTCTTCATTGACAAAACTGAAAAATATAATTAATATATATATAATTACATATATTTATGTATATTAATATAAACTCCAAATATTGTTATCTGTAATTGTATAACATATAACGAAACTGTTACCAAGAAGAGAACTTGTCATTACTTCTCCTGGTGCGTCGTCTGCAGGTAGCATGTCGGCGTGGAGTACATGGCGTACATTTGATGTTTGAAGCCTTCTTCATTGACAAAACTGAAAAATATAATTAATATATATATAATTACATATATTTATGTATATTAATATAAACTCCAAATATTGTTATCTGTGGTTCATTTTAAATTCTATAACATATAACGAAACTGTTACCAAGAAGAGAACTTGTCATTACTTCTCCTGGTGCGTCGTCTGCAGGTAGCATGTCGGCGTGGAGTACATGGCGTACATTTGATGTTTGAAGCCTTCTTCATTGACAAAACTGAAAAACATAATTAATATATATATAATTACATATATTTATGTATATTAATATAAACTCCAAATATTGTTATCTGTGGTTCATTTTAAATTGTATAACATATAACGAAACTGTTACCAAGAAGAGAACTTGTCATTACTTCTCCTGGTGCGTCGTCTGCAGGTAGCATGTCGGCGTGGAGTACATGGCGTACATTTGATGTTTGAAGCCTTCTTCATTGACAAAACTGAAAAATATAATTAATATATATATAATTACATATATTTATGTATATTAATATAAACTCCAAATATTGTTATCTGTAATTGTATAACATATAACGAAACTGTTACCAAGAAGAGAACTTGTCATTACTTCTCCTGGTGCGTCGTCTGCAGGTAGCATGTGGGCGTGGAGTACATGGCGTACATTTGATGTTTGAAGCCTTCTTCATTGACAAAACTGAAAAATATAATTAATATATATATATATAATTACATATATTTATGTATATTAATATAAACTCCACATATTGTTATCTGTGGTTCATTTTAAATTCTATAACATATAACGAAACTGTTACCAAGAAGAGAACTTGTCATTACTTCTCCTGGTGCGTCGTCTGCAGGTAGCATGTCGGCGTGGAGTACATGGCGTACATTTGATGTTTGAAGCCTTCTTCATTGACAAAACTGAAAAATATAATTAATATATATATAATTACATATATTTATGTATATTAATATAAACTCCAAATATTGTTATCTGTGGTTCATTTTAAATTCCATAACATATAACGAAACTGTTACCAAGAAGAGAACTTGTCATTACTTCTCCTGGTGCGTCGTCTGCAGGTAGCATGTCGGCGTGGAGTACATGGCGTACATTTGATGTTTGAAGCCTTCTTCATTGACAAAACTGAAAAATATAATTAATATATATATAATTACATATATTTATGTATATTAATATAAACTCCAAATATTGTTATCTGTGGTTCATTTTAAATTCCATAACATATAACGAAACTGTTACCAAGAAGAGAACTTGTCATTACTTCTCCTGGTGCGTCGTCTGCAGGTAGCATGTCGGCGTGGAGTACATGGCGTACATTTGATGTTTGAAGCCTTCTTCATTGACAAAACTGAAAAATATAATTAATATATATATAATTACATATATTTATGTATATTAATATAAACTCCAAATATTGTTATCTGTGGTTCATTTTAAATTCCATAACATATAACGAAACTGTTACCAAGAAGAGAACTTGTCATTACTTCTCCTGGTGCGTCGTCTGCAGGTAGCATGTCGGCGTGGAGTACATGGCGTACATTTGATGTTTGAAGCCTTCTTCATTGACAAAACTGAAAAATATAATTAATATATATATAATTACATATATTTATGTATATTAATATAAACTCCAAATATTGTTATCTGTGGTTCATTTTAAATTGTATAACATATAACGAAACTGTAGTGCGAGCACGGTTCTTTATGTCGACTCTTATCGAGGCATTTATCGACGTTTTTGACATTAGATGTAGATATAACAACATTGGTAGCATGGATCTCAATTTTGTCGAGTTATGTCTACACCTCGATAAGATCGACATAGTTTATCGAATTTTGTCAATTTTAAATTACAATGTCAGCATGGTTCTTATTTTTGACAGTTGTCATTGATATATTTTCGTTAAACTTGTCTACACTTTAAAGTTGGTCGATAAAGAAATTCGATATAAAAAGGAAGTGAATTTCAAGGAAAACCTGTTAAATGGACTTTGGGGATATTATTGTTTTGGAGACAGAGGCCGCCAGAAGAGTCCGCGATGAACGAAGAATTCATCGGCGGAATCTCGAGATCGAAGTAACCCCTTCGATTTAGGAGATGAAGAATTCCGAATTTACATTAGAGTAAATAAGGAAATCGCCTTAACTTTAACACGCTCTCTCTTGAGGGCGATATAAGAAGGAGCCGGTCTCATGGACTGCCAGTACATATTGTAGTAAGTAATTCTTCAATCTTCAATATCAACTATGTAATGAGTTATACTATAGTACGCGAAATAAATTGTTTCAGATTTTGGCTGCAGTGCGTTTTTTATGCCGTTGGTAGCTACCAACGGTTTGTTGGCCAAGATTATAATATTGTATTGGCACAACGAACGGTCAGTAAGGTCGTTAAGGAGGTGTCGTATGCCATTGTGCACAGACTCCTCAATGTTTACATTAAATTCCCTAGCACAGCTGAGGAAAGGAGGGCTGTCGCTAGCGGGTTTCAGGCTGCACATGGCTTGCCAGATTGTTTGGGGTGTATTGACTGCACACACATAGCTATTGTCACACCCCTTAACAATGATGCTAATGATCCACCTATAGGGTACAAAAACCGAAAAGGAAATTATTCTATTAACACTCAATTTGTAAGTGTACCTAAGTACTTAATTTATTTCTCAACATGACTACAAATATTTTTTCTTTACATCTATTTTCCTAATGTAAGGCTTGCTTGCTACCCCACCATTGTGTGATATTAATTTTTACCTACCTAAGTATTAAAAAATTGTTTCAGGTGTGTGACTCAAATTGTAGATTACTTAATGTAAATGCAAGATTCCCAGGGTCAACTCACGACCAACACATTTTTAACCAAAGATGAAATGATGAGACTGGTAGATGGTAGAATTGGAAAATACTATTTAATTGGTAATTCAAATTGGTTCAGTAGCTCCGGAGCCTATTCGTTACAAACAAACAAACAATCAAATCTTTCTTCTTTATAATATTAGTATGGATATGGATAACATAATCAAACATTAATGCGTTTTTAAAATATTCTTATAATTTAATAAAATATAGGTTCATATTGTAAAACTAAACTTCTTCCAAAACTTCTTCTGCGCCTAAGAAAAAATTGGCTCCACCGGACTGCATCAGCAACCTTGAAATAGAAAGATTAACAATTTAATAAAGTAATTTAAATAATTTTTCTTTGGTGATTGTATATAATATTTAATCATTTGTCAATTTTCAGGTGATTCTGGGTACTCTAAA